GTAGTGTACAGCATCGATTTCTGTGGAACCCAGTAGCTGTCAAAACTTTCACATTTTTACGAATAACTCGGAAATCGTAAATTTTTCAGGTAAAACGTTTGACACAAACTTAACTTAAATTTTGACGACAAATCTGAAAATGAATGAAAAAAGGGGCGGTTCCATTTAAAAAACCAAAGTTGGTAACTACCACACGTTTATGATACACCCCGTATATTGGAAAGTAATTTTAAAATGTGGACCTTTTAAACATGAAAAACTTTCGTAGGACGTATTTTCTTGTAAAGTTCATATTTACTGAGATATCGCACTTTGACGCACTAATGAGCAACCCTGTATATCAATGACTCATCCAAAGGGTGAACAAGTAAATGATTATCTCATCATGTGGTTTTGTGGTTCGGTGCCTTCTCAATGCGGCCAAATTCCCATATTGCATGAGTTTTTTGGGAAAAGTTCAGTTTAATACAGACATTGGACGAAATCAGTCGCCAGTCCTTTGTGGGTGAATTGCGTTCTTATATGGGAAATATAGAATCATTGTGGCCCTTTAAGCATATAATTTGGTTTATTCTGCTTGCTAACCGCTGGATTAAAGTTTTCATTGTGTGATGCAGTCTGAAAAATGCATAACATGAAGAATGGGGCGCCAGTTGCAGATAGCTGGTAAGACTGATATCTATTTTTTTTTTTTCCTTTCTAACTCATAAATTCCTTAGCTTGAACGCAGTTTAGCTGTTCAAAACACGACTTCAGTTTAAAGGATCATTTACATTTCTCTTTCTTTGCTTTGATATTTGGAAATTGGCTTTGGACAGATTTTCTGCTATATTGAACGCATTCTTTCCAGGTGGTACGATGCAGCTTTCGGTAAGTTTGGCAATTTTTTGGTAAACATGGCATGGCAAGTTTTGCCATGTAGACATAGAGTTCTACTACTATATTTTTCACTTGTATTTTATATGTTGCGTGTTATATTTGTTCGACGAGAAAGTTTCTGATTTTTTTAATTTTTAATCAGAGTGAAGATTATTCGATTAGTGTTTTTTCTGTTGTAAGTTGCAATTTTTGTATAAAATGGCATCAAATGCAAAAATGTTTCTTGTGTAAATAGAATGTGAAAAACCTTTCGATTTTTGTATTAATCATTTTGCTCTACCTCTCGTAGTTTAGAAAATAATCCACAATTTCTACGCATAAAAGGGATCATGTATAATATAAATACATTTAGAGCGAGTACGAGTAGTAACGGATTAGGATTCGAACTCGAAACTTAGAATGTGTGATTTCAATTTTTCCGAGAACGAGTACTCGAAAACGGTTTTATGGTTTAGCGAGTAACGAGTAATTTATTTTTCCCACCACTAGTAGAAAGTATTACTTGCCAACTTACTTAGTGACCATAGTCCACTCTTTTCTGGTATGCATTAAGATAATCAAGTATGTTTTTAAAATAAAATATGATTAGCTCTTTCACATTTGTAATTTTTAAAGATACCAATATTTACCTGAAGTCAGAATCAGCCGACATGATCCTATAATGATTAGCAAAGTTCTCGATTCGAACAGGACGACTGGTTTCAATGACGGAATCCGGCAATGAAGTACTATCATTGTTCCGGGATTCCACCATGCCTTTTCGTCCTGCTGATCGGCGTCTTCTGATGAATATGATCATTACGAAGAGCAGGCAAATCAGCACTATGGGAATCACCACCCCCAGGATAATCGGAGTGTTGTCTTGATCTAAAGAAACAAACATTAAAAACGTTATAAATGGACTATAGGAAATATTTAAGGAAATGCTCGTGCAAGTACCTTCAAGCCTTAGCAGTCCTTTGAAGCATGAAGAAAAGAGAGAATGCATTTTTAGAACAATTCAGTGATGTTAATTTCAACTACACAATCACACAGTTGGTTTCTATTTGGTTCAAATCCTGCCACTCACCTGTTTGTATCGGAAAACTATAACTGGTATCTGTAAACTTATCCGGTGCAGTAAAAGCTCTGATTTTAACTTTGTACGTGGAACCCGACTTCAACGGCCCATTGCAATATCCAACTTGCCTAAAAAAATAATTAAAAAATTCCCACTAGATGTTCCATATACTTTAACGTTAATAAAAAACGAACCTTATATCGCATGTGTCTCCACCAACTGTAAAATCTTCCACTGAACTATTAAAGAATGGATAATAAGGTTCCATAACTTGATAGGGGGGCCAAACGGAATAAGCTTGAACATCGCGCCAACTTGGCATTTCCAAGCCTGAAGCGTTCTTTGAATCATCTTCTGCCACAATGACTGCATAAGAAACAATCTGGAAAAAACGCTCTTACTCAATACAAATATATCAGCGGAGAGTGTTTTTTCTAAATCACTTACCGGACCATTTGCTTCACTAAAGTAGTTCTTTCTGAACCTAATCTGGATGGAAGTGGAACTTTTACAGACTTCAGTCGGTACCACTTGCATACTGGGTTTTGGTGGTGCCATAATGGGCATCCGTTGTTTCCAAGTTGTGGATGGACCAAAACCCACCTGAACGAACATTGTTTCTATTTCACTAACAGTCAAAACAACCGATTCCGAACCAGCATTTTACTGCCGAATGCTGCTTATATTGATATTTGGTGGGCAATCAAATACCTTCAGATCTCCGGGTGGTTTTTCTAACATTTTCTCAAAACTTACCTTGGTTTCAGCTTGGATCTTGAACACATAAGTTTTCCCTGGTAGAAGCTGTTTGAGAGTCCCCCGGAACTCATAAGCAGCAAAATCCTTGAAAAGCACATGCGGGGAACCCTAAAATTATTTTAAACAAATCAGTATACCATTTGTGGTATTGGCGATTTTAATATTAATATTTATAATCCATGCAAACATATTGTGCTAAAATTATCCTAGTATTTGCGTAGTTTTACAAGTTAGTCAGCTGCGTTGTTACGATTTGCTGTTGCATTATGTTTTTAAAGCTGCTTTACAACTATCAACAGAATAAATAAGGAATTTTAAGAATTTCATGTTGCTCCCTCGGTTTAAATATTTTAGTGTTTCGTACAGTACGTGTTTAAACAGTAGTGTTTAATACTGTCGTTTTGTTGCCGAAAATTCAAACCCAAAGTAGGTACATTCTTCATAAAAAATACTCCATAAAATAGAGGACAGAAAGTCTTTAAAAGTGAGTAAAACAGACACAAGGCAACGGTTTTTTTCGATTTAAATTTTAATCTGGCAGACGAAAATTAAAAACGAACGAAAAAGGCATTTCAAAAACAAAAAGGGTTCTTTAAATTTATAAATAGATTTGTTTCTAAACTTTGTAATAAATTACGGGTATGACACCATACTCATATTTATAGACAATTTATATATCAATCAAGGAAATATTTCTCCTAAAGTGAGTGAACAGGATAATTTATTTGAAATTTTCAAAATAAATGGCGCATGCATATGGCTAAGAAGTAGAAAATTTCCAGTTTCGATAATTATTGGTTTATGAATGAGAATTTTTTGAATATTGCGTTGCACTGACTGAGTTAACCAACTTTGTAGCCAAGAAAAAATGTTGCCAAAAATTATTCAATAAGTGGTTTAAACTCTAGTTAGCCAAATTTGCGGGACCTACATGTAGTTAGAATGTGGATGATTGTCAAGGTTTTACTTGGTTTGGTTTCTGGTCAATATTTTTTTGAAAATTAGTATGCATGCAGTGAGATTTCCAACTTTCCAGCCAATATTTTATTTTAATTAGCCAGCGTGACAATATAACTGGAATTTTCCGTATTTATGCAGCCTATGCGTAGCTATAAGGTGACCAAATATCAAGTTGATACCGGTTTCAGTTACAATTCGGCAATTAACTTCTTCCGACTCAAGAAGTGTCGAATACGCATTAAACTGGGTGAAATTCAAGTAGTTTCTTGTTTTCGTTTAAAAGTGAAAACTTTTTTAAAATTTTCAGCAATCGGTTTAGTTGCTTGACCATCATCGAGGCAAACTTAAATTTTACTCAAAACCCAAAAACCCAATTGAGGAGGTTCGGTTCAAACCACTAGCGTTTAAGCAGGGAAAGCTGATACTATATCAAAATTTCAAGTTAGTACTTGTCCTATTGCATTGGTTGGACCCACAAAGTTTACAGCCAAAAAAATGAAAAACCGCTCTATTGAGGGATTTAGTCGAAATTTGGTGCGATGATACAACAAGTTTCATTAGAGGATTTTTAAAAAAGCCCTTGCAAATAGTTCTATCTAATTCAGCTGAGACGTTCCAGGACTGCTCGGGCAAATATCGGGATTTTTCGGAAAACTCCAGGACTGGAATTGCTTAGTTTCTAGTCAAGAAAACATTATGCTCATACATTATTAAATAAGAGGAGGATTTAAGTGACATTTCTTGAGTAAATGTGGATTGCACAGATTTTGGTTTGAGATTGAGAATATTTTATACATTGACTTGCAGGGATTGAGAATGCCATCTTTAGGGCCAAGAAAATATTTGCGTAAAAATCCGTCGCTTCGCGAATTTAGCGCAAAACTCAGACAAAAAATATAAATTTAGCTGAAAAACTTTAAATTAAGGCAAATTTCAAATTTACAAAGCGATTAGTTTTGGAGTGGAATTTTAAAAAAATTCGTTGACATTGTTAAGTTTCTAATCAAGTAAAGATTATCAAAAAAAATTAGTAAACGGGGTAATTTACCAAAAAATTGTCGACTAAAAGGTCCTTGCTTTGGCTAAAAAGTGTGCGAGTTTCACGTATCTACATGTTTTGGTTTATGAATGAGACATTTTTGAAAATTGGTTTGCGCTTATTGCAATCCTCAACTTTCTGGCCAATAATTTTTTTTTTTAATATATGGGTTGATGTTGTAGAAAATAAGTTGAATAAATGGATACCATGAAATAAGCGTTCAATAAATCAGAATTAATGAGGCAGATTCTTGCCTTAGTGGATTTTCAAATAAAATGAACGATATATAAAGAGTGTGTTTAATTGATACATCTTTTGGATGTGATATTGATAATTAAAATGTATTAAACTAAAAATTAACTTATGTAATTCAATTTTTTTCACAACCAAAACTGCATTTTAATTTAATTCAGTAATAAAATAGTTTTTGGTGTTAACTTACCTCTAATCCATAGGTAATAGTGAATTTTCGAATAACACCATTCTGTTCCGAGGTTGGCAAAGACCATTCGAAGACAATATCGCTTGGCTGAATGTCGATGGGTTCGAATTTTTCCACTTTTCCGGGAACCGATTCCTTTGTGGTGAAACTTTCTGATACTGGTAGCGACCTGAAATACAAATGTGCAAGTTTCCACATTTAGAAACCAGAAATTAAGCAACAACCTTCGTAAAATGCTGGACTCGGTGCCACTCCGCACAGTGACGGTAAAAGTATAATTCCTATGGGGTTTCAGTTCATTAATAGCAATCGAATTATGGAGTGTCAAGTTTTGAATAAATCCACCATCCGAATTAATGTATTGCACCTCAAAGGCATTATATTCGCCTCTTGGAAATGCCCAAGTTAACGTGATTTCTGTGTCTGATATGTATGTTGCGTTGATTCCAGTTATGGGCTCCGGAACTAGAAAAACATTTTCTTAAGTAATTTACTGCAGGGGATAATCAGTTGATTTTTTCTCTTACATAGTCTATCTTGTCTTTGCAAGGGTTGACTAGCTACTCCTTGGGAAACGGTCCAAACAGTAATATTATATAACCTGGAACAACAGTTTCGAATGTGCGAACTTTTTCTTCAAATGCATTTATACATACCTTCCTGGTATCAAATTGTTGAAAGTGACTAATCGGTCAGAGTCGTTTGCGGTCTTCTCTTGGTCGGGTATATTTGGTTCCGATAAAGAAAATTTATATAAATCAAATCGTGAGGATGTCTGAGGCGTTGGAGTATAGCGAAGACCGATAGAGTCAGTTGATACTTGGTTGTTAACGACCACCACTTCTGATTGGATCAGGGGCACTAAGGAAAAACATAAATTTAATGCGAACATACAGGCTCTGGGACTGGTATTCTGTCCCATTAAATCTATGAAGGTGGTTAAATTAGTAGCTGCTTAACTCACTGGTGCGTGTTTTCAGGACAGTCACATCACTTTCCAAGTCATTTGAAATTGCCTGAATATCGAACACATATTCTTCTCCGGGCATAAGATCACCCACTAAGAGCCTAACGGGGCCGGTTCCATTTTGGCTTTGACTCACAATGCTCTTGTTCACCTGCGAAGGAGTTGTAATTTCCCACCATCTAATTATTAAATATTTTTTAGTTATTATTTTATCACTGTGTGTATTATCTTATCAAAGCGTCGATGTGCCGAGGCTTTTTCTCACCTAACAATGTAAGTTTCAACTCTTCCTTCTGGCCGGGGCCATTCCAGAGTAACATTATTCGAGTCAACTAATGGCGCAATGTTTGACACGGGATTTGGCCTAGAATAAATGGAAATAATTTCGAAATATCATCAATACTACCAAAAAATAAACCATTTTTTAATCAGGAATATATTACTCTATTTTTACCTGACTGTATGATTCAGCTGCTGAGGCTCATTGCTCTCCAAGCTATAGCTGACTGTGTTTACTTGTATCGTATATCTCTCTCCCGGCGTCATATCAGTTACTTCAGCTTCAGTATTTTGTACAGCGGGCAATCTTCAAAAAAACGTATTGAATTCAACATTTAATTGAGCAAACTACTTACCTAATCCATTGATTATCCGATCCCGTTTTGTATCTGATGGAATATTCTGTGATTAATGAATCCATCGGGGCCTGCCATTGGACAATAACCGAATTGGTTGTGGTTTTTTCAATGGACATATTCCTAGGCGGTTTGGGAACTGTAAGCACACGTGAATTCCATTACTGTTGCGATTAGGGATTTTTCTATGTTATGGAACTTACAGACTGGTTGGAAGTACTCATGCGGTTCGCTTTTTAATCCATGCGAAATTGCGTAAATCTTCACCAAATAGCCTGCGCCTGGATACAGATTGCTGAGAAGTATCTTCGATTCATATGTGGACCTCACGTCTCTTTCATTAGTGTCGTTCCTTATCCAGATTATTTCGTATTTGTCTTGTTTTGAGTTTACATCGGATTTCCAGCTGATGTTTAATCCATCAACCTAAAAATCGGGAACGTTTTCATCATTGGAAAACGCACACATTTTAATCAGCCATTATCACCATGGGTTTTAAATCTTCAATAATTGGTGCGCTCGGTTTTGTCACCACGTAAATTGATTGCTCTTTCGACTGAACATCCTTCGAAACAGCTTGCACTGTAATGGAGTAGTTTCTTCCAGGCAACAAGGTTTCCAGTTCAATTTTTGACTGATTTGTAGCAACAACGTTGCTATCGCCTAAAACCAGCCCAAATTTGTAACGCAAAATCTTGTCAGTTGAAAATGGAAACTGAACACTGACCGGTAGTGCTTTCGACCTCGTGGTAGGACACTAAAAAGCTGTCCTGTGTACTGTCCGGGCTCGGTTTCCAGGAAATTGTAATGGTGCCAGTATGCTCATCCAGGACAGAATGAAGATGACTAACAGGAAGTGGTTCTGAAATTTAATTTTGCTTTGATTTACAATGCAATGAATTGAGGAAACAAAAAATCACACTTCCTAATAATTATTTTTTGGGGCAACTTCTGTTGCGTTACTAACAGCAGTTTAAAACTAATTATGTTCCTACCTAAAGTAACTTCGGATGAAACTGGCCACGAAGTCACTTTTCCTGAAACTGTTTTAACAACCACAGAATACGTTTTTCCTGGCTCCAAATTATCTTTGAATTCCCACTCAGTCAAATCGTCCTTCGATCTCGGAACTGGGGGTGGTTTTCTTAAGGTTCCAAGTGAAATTTGATACTTATCAAATTCACTGAAAAAAGGCAAGTAATAATCGAATCAAAATCCCGGTTTGAGATCTATTTAGATTTTTACCTCCGGCCAATTGGCGGTTCCCAATGTACAACAAACGAGTTCGTGGTAATTTTGTCCTTATCAAAGCTGATTTTTCCCGGTTTTAATGGAACCGTTCGATATTGAGCTGTCGTAGGCGCGGATATTTCATCTTCAGACATTGTTTGTACAGAAATATTGTAAGCTCGACCTGAAAATAAACGAACATTAGTAAATTCACTGTTAAGTAAGCAGTCCAGTCATCATTTTCCAGACAGCATTTGTAAATTAGCATTGAATTATATGGAGTGTTTTTTAATATCGTGCGCTTATGGAGACTAAAAGTTCGAATAAACATTTGTTTTAGCTGAAATTTCAGGATTTAGTTTTTTACTTATTTAACCCAAAATCAGGTACACAGACTTCGACGTTTAATTTTGTTGTATCAGAACCCTTATGAAAAAAATTAGTTTCAGTTTTATAACCTGTTTTTTTTTCTATTTATAAAGGATAAAGATAAAGGAAGAGTTCACTCCTAAAAAAGTAACTCAGTTCGATTCTCGCAAACCATTTTCCATTTCATTGTAAAATTTATTTTAATTTGCAGGTAAATATCTGAGAAACTGCAAAAAATATCTCGGAACTTCAACACGTTGCCGTGCGGAAAGAAAGCACATTTTTTTCCCTAATTGAATTTTAAGTATAAGCTAAAGAACTCTTCCCGGTTCTACATCGAGAAACACTCTGTATTTACTATTAAATCACACTGATATTTTTGAACAAACCTGGGACAAGTCCTTTGAAAGCTGCCTGAGCAGGTCCTGGCGGTTCGCCCTCTTTTTCCACATACAAAATAGAGTCATTTGCATCTGGTGGATCAATCGAAACTTTATAATGCGTATAAATAGCTGCTGGATAAGGAGGCTGCCAAAGAACTAAAAGCGTTGTTTCATTCCGGAACCAAACAATGAACTTTCCTGGAGTATTCGGTTCTAGACAAAGACACAAATGTTCAATTAGAATCAGGATTTCACTATATAATATAAATGTATATGGAATTTGTTCACTTACTTGTGGTAAAATTGCGGGAAGTGTAAGCGGCGCTTTCTTTATTCTCAAAAACCGTGAAAGCTTGAACTTGATACGTGGCGCCCGGTACCAAATCCTTTTGCGCATATTGAGTGTTATCAATATTGTCGATTGTTATGGCTTTTCCATCTGTAAAAGTGTAACAGGGCGTAAAAACTCAATTGACTGCGTAAGCAAAACCATCAAAATAACAGAAAACAAACGCAGTGATAAAAACAGATGAAACGAAAAGCGTTCTACATGTATGACCTAGAAAGAAAATATGAACCTTGAAAAGAACTGACCTTTCACTAGTATGTAACGGTAATTGAACGGAAAAAATTGGTCAAAATTTTGGATCAAAAAGTGGATCAATGTTAAAATGGATATTAATGGTGAGTTGATAGGAAAATCGCAGACATTTCAGCAACCACTGCATACCTTCGAATGCTTCTTAAGCACTTTCACAAAAGCTCACGCCAGAACTCCTTTGACTTACCCCACCCCAAACGAAGCAGTTCAAATGGTTTTCGTGCTAAAGAAAGGATTAAATCAATGAGAATCGCTTGGAAACTGTCTTACAAAAAACCCAACATTTGCCATTGTAAATGTTTATTAACGAGGCAATTAGAGCGACGAAATTTCCAAAACCAAAACTATAGCGTAGGTATTAATCAATACAAGCTTAAAATTAAATAATTAAGGCAATGAACCCACCTGGAATATGCACTAATGCATTTATTTTGAGCTTGAAGCTGGTGTAGCTGCCTTGCGAAGGTGGAGACCATGAGAAGAAGGCTTGCTTCCCTCCTTTTACAAAAACGGATAGCCCTGATGGTGGATCCGGAACTGAAACAAATTATGAATTTTTTTCCTATTAAGTAATTTGTAGAAATTGATTTTTTTTGCTTGAAACTTTAAAAAATTGCGAAACTTTTAGTGAATTTTTACGTAGTGTTACGCTGTTCAACTAAAGACATTTTTTTAAATTGAAAATGTTTACGAAAAGCATTTAAAATGTTTTGATACATTTTAGGCCTTTTGGAATATTTGAAAGCTTTTTCATATATTTCGGTAACTTGCGAGAAATGAACTAAAATGCTGAACAACATGCTATACATTTTGGTGCGGGAAATAATCAGAAACTAAACATTTATGAAATGAACTCCATGTCTACAAAATTCTTCTTCTGAATAGAATCTACAATATTTAGGCATTTGAGTACTATATTTTCTTGTAACATTTAGCATGTAAGAACATACGGAATTTATTTTTTTTTATTGATAAGTCGATTTTCATGCTACAAAACGTACTCGTAATGCAATAATACATCGCATAAAATCGCGAAAATAATTTTTTTAAATGCTTAATTTTTGCACCTTTACTATGGACATTCTGTATAGGTACAAGAGAACCTTTCTGTCTAAATTTAATCGATTTTCTTATTATTTATGTAAAGCGCCGTATTTATCCTTAACGGAATGTCTAAAAATCTATGAATTTGTTTTCAGTCCATTGTGAATCGTTTATTTATCCTAATTTACTGACGGAAATGAAAAAAGTTATGACAATACTGTTAAAAATATTACAGTAGATATATCACGTTGGACTTCATTGGGCAACTCTGTATAGTTTTCGAGCAACAATAGGATGGAAAACTCTATATAATTATTACATTTGCATATTCTTTGTCAGCAACGAAAATGTTCCATAATTTAATGTTTTTTTCTTTAAAATTTAAAAATATAATATTTATCATACCTCCATGTAATTGTTGGAAAAGGAACTTTTTAGACTTTTAATCGGCAGTTTGTGAATGAGATTTGTAACGACTGTTAACATCTTTTTTGCAAAAATTGTTTTTTTTTGATATCTTGTTCGGTACGTTCAATTTAAAACAAAGTTTAATTCATTTTTTTCTATTGCATACCAAAAATAGGCTTTAAGGCTCATTTTTTAGTTGCACCTACATTAGTTTCTAATATGTACAAAGTTAATCTCAATAAAGTGAATAACAAATAAAATGGTACATTTATCAAACTCGATTTGAATTTTCTCTCTCCAAGAATTTATAGAATTGATATCGAATCGATCTATAGAAAAAAATAATAGAACTCCCCGGATGTTGAGGATTTTTATACCGTGTTATGATCAAATAATTTTCGATAAAATTCATAAAAATACAATAAACACAAATATCGGGAAAATGAAATATAATAAATTTCCAATAATCCTTCTTTTCCTAATCGTGAATCAACAATCACAAGAACTGTTCTGAGTCCGAGTCTCGAACGCTTGCTGTTTTGTTAATGATAATTGTTAAAATGTTTAAGCATCACTTTCCAAAACTTTTTGTTTCTCTAACTCGTCTTTTTTATTTATATCCGTCAATTATCCTTATTAGTGATTTAACAGAGCGATAACTGATTTCAACTAGGTGTGAAAGAGATTAACACTAAAGGATGGAACAAATGTGGCATAAGGTTTTAATGAGATTTAATCAGTCGAATAAAGTAATATTTCATTTTCAATCATAAGCACGCACAAAAGGTTTGCAATTATTGACAAACTATTGCCTTTCTGGTGTATTTGTAAAAAAATCATTCACTATCATCAAAACAAATCACTATTATTTTCTTGTTATTTCTCACACAAATAATTATTTTTTTTCTTGGTGTAAAAATTTTGCTTGCAAAAAATGACTTGTCCCATCTCGGAATAATGGATTTATCTCATGTTTTCTGTAAAGCAGACACTAAACACATAAACCTAGTGAATAAGTTGGTTAACATTTCAAAATGTTGTTGGCCACAGCAAAATCACGAAAAGTTGTAGCTCCAATTGGGACTTAAGCAAATCTGCATGCTTTAATCTCACTTTGAGTAATGTTTGAAGATCTTTGCACACATTCACTATTAACTTCTATTAACTATTAACATTCAATATGTAAAATTGAAGCAAAACATGATCAAACGCAGATTTACCTGTTGTAAAGTTGGCTGTCCAAGTGAGGGTATTGTGAGTGGCGTTTGAATAATACAACCAAAAGTCGTACTTCGTTCCGGGAAGAGCTTGTGAAAATTTGATGACATCTCGGATATCTTTGGATGCGATCGTGGTGTTGGGAGCTGGATATCCGAAGGGCGGATAGTAATCGAGACGATAAACCACTCCCTCCTGGCCTAAACTGCCTGGAATGTGGATCACAAGTTCTGCAGCAGACGCCACCTTTAAAAAAATTACAATTAGTTCAACCACTTATTTACATATCTCAAATCGTCTAGTTGATTAATTAAGCCGCTGCAATCAGATAAACCTCAAACATGGCGTGTTGAAACATCTATTTGCAAAATCTCCAAATAAACGATATTAATTTCGACAAATTTGACTCAGTAGGAGGCCCCGTCCTCAAGTGCGCTGCGCGTTATTAAAGGTCTTTTGTTTTAAATTGCAAAAGCAGATAGAGATCGTTGAAATTAATTATTTCAAACAATAGGCTCCGCTTACTTTTTAATCTTCCATCCTACGAGATCTCCATCATTACGCTTAAGTACATCGCTTTATAAGATCATAGACTAAATGAGAAATTATTGTAGATGAATATGATGGTGTTCAATTAATTCTTCAATGGAAAGTGTATTATAAGGTAGTCGTTTCGACATTGCCTACAAAGTGAAATTTTAGATACGTATTGCATTTAAGTTTGGTTGAGCAAAATAAACTAGGTACTCAAAAATGCCTGTTTTTGCATCGGGACATGTAGAAGGCCTTTTAAAGTTTAGTTTGTTTTTGTTAACATTTTCGATTTCTTAATTTAGTGTTAAATTTTTCCCCAAAAAGTTTTGGAACTCTTTCTCCACGTCTACCACGCAAAATAAGATATTTAATGTAATTTTATGTAAACAATTCAAATAATTTAAAAACAACTCGTTCTCCAACTTCATTTACGAGTTTTCACAGAAATTAGCACAGATACAGATGGTAACACAAGTTTAGACTTGCGTCTTCAAAACTATGCGTATTTGGAAACTGAAACACTCATGGATTTATGCAAAAAACACAGGCCTCCAAAGAAATAGGAAAATATTCAATATCCTTTCATTCTTGAGTAGTTTTATGTAATAACATCATTTTGCATCAACGCACTTATTTGATGAGATCTAAAAAGTACAAAAGAAACTGTTTGTGATAGGCCTGGGTAACTCAGTGAATTTTTAGGAGTTGGCGCATTTCTGCGCAAATGGTTTAGTGCGCCAACCCACCGCACTGGCGCAGTAACTCAGTCCCGTTGCTGACAAAAGGTGGATGACCTTTTTTTGTTGCTTTCAGATTTATTTTAAGAGCCTACTAATAACATTTTGAAAGTTTCTTCAAAATTTCAGAATTTTCCAGTTTTAGTTTTTGTTACTCTTTCTTCTAAGCGCTCAATTTTCTCAAGTTTCACTTAAAAATACTGACAATTTTAAGGTATTTTTTGCGAAAAACTATGAAATACATTTTGTTAGAACACCTTCGACGCTTTGGAAAAAACAAACAGAACAACCGAAAATTTATAATAAATTATTTAGAAAACTCGTCACCTCCATTCCGCTGAAGAGTATAGTTTGTTAACAAATGTGGTTTTCTAGTTTTTACTGATTTTTTTTTGCTTTACTTTCTACTCAAAAACGCTCTATTTTGTACAGTTTTACTTAAAAATACTGAGGATCTGGAGGTCTTTTACGCTTTTACAAAAACTTTTCAGCGTCGAATTCAGGACAAAAACGAAAATAGATTTTTGAGGATAATGAGGTCCTTATCCAAAATGATATAATTAATTTTATTAGAAAATTCGCCTTATTCATTGCTTTTCAGAGAAGTTTAGAAAACCCTTTTCAGCTTCAAATTTGGCAGAAAAACCAAATAATGTTATTCAGTTTTTTACCGAAAGTAATGAAGATTATCTTGAAAATACGAGCAGAGCAAAAGTTTGCCAAAAAATATTTAGAAACTTCGCCGCCCTGATCGCTCTAAAGATTGTTAAAGTTGCATTATAATTTTAGGTCTTTCCAGTTTTAGTAAAGTTTTCGTTAAGCAATTATTTCTACGCAAAAAACGCATTATTTTTAATTTTACTTAAAAACAATGATAATCTTCAGGTATTTTCTGTGAAAAATTATAAGATAAATTTTATTAAAACACTCTCCTCCTTAACCGCTTTGCAAAAATTGGAAACTGGAAAACTTGTTGGACAAAACCCTAATAATTTTTTCGGGGTTTTTTTCCCCAAAATATTTCCCCGAACAGAAAAAGCGAGTCTATCATTTATTTGGAAAAATCTTGGAAACTCGGTTTTCTTCACTTTTGGGTCAATATTTATAAACAAAATTCTCTCTAAACAGAAAAACCGCGTTTTTTCCCAACGTTTTACTGGAAGATACTGGCAAACTGAATCTTTTATGTAAAAAAATTAATAGACCGATTTTACAAGAAAAGAAAACTTGTCGACTTTGTTAGATGTTAAAATTCCGGTCTGGGGTCTCGTAAAGCTTTAATCTGCTTTAATAAATGACTTATAACTCATTAACCGATGAGTTATAACTCGTTAACTCAGGGAGCGGCAACAACTCAGTAGCGCAACTCAACACAGTGTTACCCAGGCCTAGTTTGTGCTAATTCTTAAACAGACAGAAGAAAACAATGACAACCAACCATTTCATTCAAAAACCGGTAATTTGCTTCAATTTCTTGAAATTTCTAATTTAAAGTCAACATTGCATCAGAAAAGAATCAAACAAATCACTGATGCTTTTAGGCCTTTGTAGCTCAAAGAATTTATACTTCAAATGAGCTAAAACTCGCTCAAATGTGCTCAAATCGTTTGCCAAATATGTACATACAGGGTTTGAAACCTTCGAATGTAAGGAAAAAGAACTAAGGCTACCTAAAATGCCAGCAACGAAAAATATGTAAACTACTCAAATAACTCAAATCGAGTAAATTTAATTAAAGATAATAAAGATGTTTCGAATATTTCACCTTAAAGTACGAAAAAATAAACTTTAAGCTGGAAGAATTGCTACACTAAACAAAGTTATCCCAATTGACAAAACTGGCTGAAAAAAGAAAAAAAGATTGATTGATTTATTTAACAAAACTTCTGGTGACTGAAATGCAATGCGTTTTTTACAAGAAAGTAACAGTGAAAGTTTTGAAACTGATAAATGTTGACTTTTAGATTCTACAAGTTTGAAGCAATAAATAGTGAAAAACACCCTAAAAATGAGAAATATGGGTTTGAAAATATGATCCTTCAACGGTTGTAAGTGAAGCGAAAGACAAACACCAAAAGCTGCAATTAATTTCGATTTCATAACTTTAACACTAAAATTCTACATTCGCAATTGATTTATTTAAATACATCTTGATACTATGATCAGCATGATTTAAGTACGTATAAAAGAAGCCACAGCAGAGACGAGCATTTAGTCATAAGAGCTTTGGTCATTAGATAGTTACGATATGTAAGAGTCATAAGAAGTCATAATTCATAGTTACGTTCATTTACAAGCAAAATTTGCATTAGTTTGGAATAAAATTGTTTTTAAAATCGGACGTTTCAAATTAATTAATAAAATTGTATCTATCAAATGGAAAAATGTTCTTAAATAAGATGCATAATACACAAACGTTTATGCTACACAACAATAGAAAACACATGGGGCTTTTCAAAAATAACAACTTTGTAAACTGAAAAGTTAATTGGAAAAAATTATGATCGCTTTGTTTGGTTTCCTTCTGGGAAAATGTAGATTTTAAATAAGAAATTTCGCAAAATTGAAGCAAATTACCGGTTTATGAAACGCAAACAGACATTTTTGTAAATGTTAACTTATTAAAATCCTGAAGATGAGACGGCACTGAGGAAGTCGGCAAGATTTCGCTTCAAAACACCAAACAAACAGTAGAAAAATATTAAACAAATCAAATCAATAAACAAATCAAATCACCTTTCGATGTCGGCCGATTAGCTTGGAAATGAACACGTTTTCCATTTGAAATTATTTCACCGTTTAAGTATGTGTTTATCAACTATTAAAATAATAATTAATAACGGTGGGTGATTATTGTTCCTTCCAAGGTTTGTTATATTAATTTACTTCAAAAGCATGTACTTCATCATTTTTAATGCTACCAATGCGAGGGTCTGCATAAATTAATTTATAATAATGCGCAATTTACTGATGATGCTTTGAATTAGTTAAAACACCGTGTCTAAAATGGGGAATTGACTACATAAATATACACAGAAAATCACGTTTTCTCTCAAACTAGCTTATTTATTTATAAAACAATCAAAACCAACTGCACACTAGGAATCACGCGCATGTTTCAGACTTTCATTAAATCATGTACATTCTTCGGCTAATTGCACACTGATTGATTAGATTTGCATCCAGCAGTTTCGCCACCACCAACTAATCAATATTCCTATCCAATAAAAATAGAGCTCAGTCGCTCATTCCATCTAATTGACACCGATCGGAGCCCACATTTAATTTTTTTCGTTAATTCATTGCTCCAATAGTGAACCAATCTGTCGTTGATCTTAAATTACATGTGGGTTAACAACCTTAAGATAATGGGTTTTATTTTTAGTGGATCCCGTGTGAGTGCCGGCAAAAAAAATTGTAGCTTGCTTACTGTTATGTAAAAAAGAGTATATAGTAATCGACCCACGTATAAAATTAGCTATGCCAACTAACGGGGGTTTTTAAACGAGACAAATTTTGAAGGCCCCTTCTTAACAGTGTAGAAAGTAAAAATTAATGGTTGATATTCCGGATAGTTCATTAAATTTGCAAATTTTAAAAAGTGTAAACAACGCGAATTTGCGTTGCAAATAAATACTTCCTAATGAACGGACCACGAATCAGGACACCGGTTTTCAATTTAAAAAAATGCTCACTCATTAATTTGCCTTTCTTTGGCAAAAAAGTATTACAAACTAATGGCTGATTTGCTGCACATTTCCATAATTCGTCAATTTGTTTTTAGCTTTGTAAATACACGAAAACATTTACTGAAATGCCACAGAAAATCTGAGCCAATGGAGGCATATAGATAAGAGAACAAATGTTCCATAAACAGCCTAACAAAGACACTTTTCTCGAAATGTTACAATAAAGCGCTGAATAATGGACGATTGAAATTTTATTGGTCCACTTCTACTGGGACATAAATCAAGT